GTGTGTGTGTGTGTGTGTGTGTGTGTGTGTGTGTGTGTGTGTGTGTGGCTGCATTTTTGTTCATGGACAGAAATGCATAATATCCCATTCCACATTTTTCTCGCAGAACTCTGTCTGTCTCTCTCCCTCTCTCACTCTGTCTGTCTGTCTCTCTCCCTCTCTCACTCTGTCTGTCTGTCTGTGTCTCTCTGTCTGTCTCTCTCCCTCTCTCACTCTGTCTGTCTGTCTCTCTCTCTCTCTCTCTCTCTCTCTCTCTCTCTCGCATGTTTGTGAATAATTCAGAGGGATTGATATCATTTCACACTCACTACTGCATCCCACAGAGACAGACGGATAGATGGTTTGTTGTTAATGGTGAGTTCATACTTCGTGGGGGAAATGGCAGCTTATTATTACTCCATCGTTACAGCCTATTTCCTCATCGTAGTGGTGGACCGGGATCATCACCCTTCTGATTTTCCTCCACATAACTAGAGGAAGTCATGGATAGATGGAAAGTCCGACTCGAGCATGGAAAGACCCCGTTCACACATTTACGGATGACTGTGCTCACCCCTCCACCTTAACAGCCTTTACTGGCACCACTGCCAGTTACCAGGGTGACATCGTCTTCGACCACATTACAGTCTGAACATCTCACAGCTGTTATTTATGACCTTGTTGTGCTTTACTGCCCGGGTTTCTTCTTCTTGAAACTTAAAATGTCATGTAGCTCAGGCACCGCTCATTATTGTCTAGCGATTTAAGTGATTCTCGTTCTGATTACGGTCCATAACACAAGTCTAAACACTGACACACACTCACACACGCTCACACAGACAGGGTTGGTGAGTAGTTTCACTTTGTGTCAGTGGTGGTATCACCTTTTTCTGCTCCTTTTTTTGTCAGTACAAAAGGAAGTTATTTCTTCCTCTTCGTTGGGTAAAACCTAATTTGGGTTGTTTAGTGGGTTTCTAGCAGGCAGGTGACTGACTTCATAGAACAATAATTATGGTGATTTTGGGCTCAGGGAAATGAGCAAGCTTTGAGTTATTTTCTGACATTTTGTAAACTAAACAGATTAAAATGTGCTAGAACCTGTTAATGTTGCATTAAATAATATTAGATTACGTCATTTAAGACAACGGCAATTTGGCTTTTATTGACATTAGAAATGTATAATTCAGTGTTATTAAATCACCAGAGGAAAATAATAATAGTCTAAATTAATGAACACTGATTGCTGTAATTCATCTTTGCCCAGTGTGTTGACGTTGGTAGCTTGAAAAGCTGCTATATTTCCCCAAGCTTTTCACACACACACGTAACCGTAACACATTAGAAAGGAAGAGACCCTCGACTCAAACATCATGTTTTCGTATGTGTTCATTCGGCCAGCTGGTCAGTTCAAACCACGTGAGTCTCGGGGCAAAATGTTTCATTAGATTCTAGATTTCTCTACCGTCTTATATATTATTCATGATGCTCTTCTTAAACGTTATATACCGTTTATACATATGTACAGTATTAATTATGAATACATGGGGCTCCTGCATACTGCTTAAATATCCCACTTGCTTTCACTAAACTCACTTTAACCATTAACCAATGAGCATATCTTGTTTTCTGTCTTCCTTCTTGCCTGCTTGCTGTCAGTGGCTTAAGGCCAAGGTAAGAGATGGATGTCTTTCTCTTATTTTTCTTTCATTTGTAAAAAACATATACATGAATTTTAGATTTTGATAACCTGGAATTAAGTTTTCATTGAAGAAAAATTATTCCATGAAATAGCTGATTTATTACGATGCTACAAAGCAGCGTCATTACACCGACTGTGTCTCTTGTTTCCTGTTGTCACCATTGATTCACTTTAATTAACTTAATTTACCTTTTTCCAACTTAACTGTTGTGAGTATAAACCTGGTGTGAAATTCTACCATGAATATACTTTAGCTTCAACTCTATATGTATGTTACAGTAAATGCAGAAACATGGTAACAGGATATATGAAATATTATATTTGATATTTACAGTAATTACCCGTAACACATGTTCCTATCTCCTGTTATATCCTCATCCATTTACAGAGAGACATCCACAAAGGCAGCCAGTCACCTACAAAGTGCTGCCATCTGTTCCCTTTGCCCCTTCATGTCTCTCTTCGTGTCCTAGTCTATGTCTTTATATGGACAAAAAAAAAAGAAGCCTTTGTGCCAGTGTTTATCCAAAAAATGAATCATAGGAACAAAATTCAAGTTTGTCTTAATTCTTATAGGTTTAAGTGACTCCTCCTCAGCCTAAATATTCATTGGCAGGAGAAACACTGGTGTCAGCACCTCAGATTATACAAAAATAATGTTTTAACTTCTCTTTGCTCCTCTAGCAACATGGGAACAATGCAGCAGGAAGAGGAGGGACACTTTCCAGGACCACCCCACCCTCACAGAAACCCCCAAGCCCCCCCATGGCTGGTCGTGGCACCCTGGGGTAAGAACATACAGCCGTGGTAGTAGTTTTAAAATATATGTATTCTGTGTATGTGTATTCTTGCACAAACAGAAAGAAATATGTTCGCGGTATAGGCCCTCTGGACCATTACACCATTACATCTTTTATATGTTAATACTGGCAGTTTGAGACTATTCCTACATTACACAGTGGTTGTCATAAACACCAGGACCCACCCGATGTTCCATAAACAATGTCTGTAAAAGCCCAAAGTAGCTCCTCTCACTTCATGAAAACACTGAGAAGTAACTGCGGCCACTTTGGCTGTGTTTATCTGTACCCAGGCGTAACACTCCCTACAAGACCCTGGAGCCGGTGAAGCCTCCGGTGGTGCCCAACGACTACATGACGAGCCCGGCCCGACTGGGCAACCAGCACAGCCCCGCACGCACAGCCTCGCTCAACCAGAGGCCCAGGACACACAGGTAATCCCGGGAGTGAATGCAGTGCTGCAAAGCTGTAATAATAATAAACCGATGTCTCTGTTCTACTTAAGTGACCCGGTATGACAGTGAGTCAGCATGCACAAAAGGCCCCTTTCACAGCAGCCATTTTGACTTGTCATAGCAGGGTAAACACAGGTGCAATTGATAAAAAGATAATTATGGTCCCATTGTATTTAGTGTGAGCCAGCATACACAATACTAGGCCGTAACAGGGCCATAATTAATCCTATTAATTACACCTTTGTTAACCCTGCTATGACAGCTTGATGTAATTCAGCCATCATTTATTTAATTATTTATAACCGTGCGTTTCCTACTGTGGTATGTCAACATGTCTGTGTTTGTGACAAAGGCCTGTTGCCTGTGACTTACTTCACTAAAGGCTCTACACACCACACTTCATTCACTCCCACAGGTGCTTCAGATAAAAGCTAATTAGACCTCTCCTCAACGCTGTGTGTGCTTAGTTGATTGAAATCCACACTTAATCCTGAGAGGACACGTAATCAATCGGAAGTGAAAACACCTGTGTATCTTTTGATCGTCAACTGCTCAGTTTTTATAGTCTTAGCTTGTGTATTTTCTTGTTTTTACTTTGACCATCCTAGTCATTGTTATCAGTACAGACCCATGTGGCTGGAGCACCAATACGTCCATCCATTATACCCATTTATCCACAACAGCACAGTGTCAGTGCACCAGATTACTGGTGCTAGCGTTTGCTAAAATAAAGACTACATTTGCAATTAAAATATTGTCTTTTTAATATCAGCAGCTAACTAAAGCTATTACATAGAGCATAGAGTTCAGCATGGCATTCAACTTTTATCTCTATTTCTTGCTCATGATAACTACACTAATATTTCAAATTAAAAGCAATAGCAATAGCAATTTATACAACATTCCTGCATCTAAAGGTCGAAGTGTAATTACTCTTTTAGTCTGAGCTTTACAGATTTGATCGTGGTTCTTTATGCCTTCCAAACAAGCCTTGGCTCTCGTGTTGTTTTTTCATACACTGTGTATGTGTGCTCCCGAAATCTGTGCCCAGTATTCATGTGCGAATGTGCCAGACGGCGCATTCGCAGAACTGTGAATATGTTGCCACAGCGACGATGATGTTTTTATGACAGAGTGACATGTGAGAGAGTAATGATGGGATGTCAAAACTCTTGTCATGTAATTTAAGTTTGTCACACGCACACATCCTCTAATGATCGCCATAAAGACTCTTTCTAACTCCGTCTGCAGTGGCAGCAGTGGCGGTAGCGGCAGCAGGGAGAACAGCGGAGGCAGTGGAGGCGGTATTCCACTGGCAGTTCCCACCCCCTCCCCTCCCAGTATGGGCCAAGGTGAGTCTCAGCAGTCGTACTCTAACTGCCCATCACAGATGTACACAGTGACGTCTCACTGCTGGTTACAGTAATATTGTATTTGTAGGCTCGGTTTATCCCTGTGTGTCACTTGTCCTCTTTATGCACACAGTCACATTCAAAATCAGAGAAAAATGATTAGCATTTAGCTTTATTCAGGCCTTAACTTAGTGTTTCAGCTTGTATAAAATACCTATGAGGAAACATTGTAGGTACACAGATTATTGTAAAGGTATTGTCTTATGATCAGGTTTTTCAGTTTTTTCTCAAACATACATTAAATATATACAGAAGAAAGTACTTTTCAGGCAAATGTTTGCATCTTGCAGGAAGCAAAGGAAGAGGGGATTAGGACAGGGGGCAACAAATATTAAAGTGGTTAAGAACAAGATGAGAGTTTTGTTCAAAAAGGTTTTTATTGCACTGTTTTTTAATGTTTATTTTTATTTATTTATTTAGTGTAAGTAAACTGAATTTAAATGCTCTCATCATATCAGCAACCTATTATTTTTTCTGACATTCTGCATGGAAATATACTGAAAATGAATGCATACTATTAACACTTCACCCTCTCCTGTCCTGCAGTGGTGACATCCTCTGCCTCGGTGCCCCAGGGCCCCGGCTTGGGTCCCATACCCATGTCCCAGTTCGGCACCATCTCCCGCCAGATCTCCCGTCACAACTCTTCCACCACCTCCTCGGCCTCCATGGTGTCAGCCACCGGCACCTACCGCCGCGCACCCTCCGTCTCTTCCCAGCAGCCCCACATCAACGGGGGTCCTGCCTACCCACAGAACTCAGGTAACTAATAAAACGTCATCATTAATGTAAGTTTGTAGATGGTCTGCTTTACGAGATGGTTGGTGCGTAGGAATAGACTTGTCTGACATGATGGAACTCACTCATACAGGATGTATAAATTAGAGAGGAAGCTTGTATTTTACTGTCCGTTCTTGGCAGTCGTGCGCTTTGACTCCACAATCTATAATTATGTGAAACTGCTAAAAAAAACGATCCTCTGGGTCTAAAACATATGCTTGGGCTAGCCCTTCCAGAGGCTAATGGAAATGAATGATGAACCATAATTACTGAAGTCAGGGTATGTTGAAACCTTCCCACCTCACCACTGCTGTGCAGAGCGTTTCATTACCGTTTGTAATTGAGTTATGACTTCATCACTTTAGTCAGCCGGAGAAGGCTTCTTGTTCAGGAGAGACAGGCAGGCAGGCGGGAGGCATTTCAGGGCAGCATACACATAAATAGCTGCGAGACAAGGGGAAACCCAGGACATATGCATATTTTCTTGTCAGAAGACATAATTTATTTTGGCAGCCATCACTCCGAGCCATTCTCATCTAATGGCTTCTCTCCTTCAAAGGACAAGCATCTTCCTTGGCACAGACGGAGGAGGCTGTTTGTCTTGTCTGGGAGGAGAGAGACAATGATGCAGAGCTGCATCGACCAGGGTCTGTAACTGGGTCAGCATACGATCTCCGTAATGTCTACTCATTGAAATTTAATTCAAGTGAAATATACATTTTGGATTTCTGCTGAATGTAGTGGAAGCCTTATAGCAGGGGAAAAAAAGGCTAGTTAGAGTATGAGGGAGTTCATTGATCTCTCGGGGGCGTAGCTGTGGATGGATGTGGAATAATAAGACATTACTGCCCAGCGAGTTCACAGACGCCTTTTCCATTATATGTGATTTACGAGTCAGACCTGGCGTGCGCTCGTGTGACATCATGTCTTTGTTAGTAAGGAAAGCTGTGTTTGTCTGTTTGTTTATCTCCTTTTTAAAAAAAGCAAAAAGCCTCATTAGGCAGATGATGGAGATTGTATGGATGCTAGGCTGTTCAGTAAAGGGTGGACTAAATGTAGCACTTGATCCAGACATACCACTCTAATTTAGCATTTAATCAGATCAGATACAGATGCTGCAGCTCTACCTGTAAATGCTTTTTTTTACGAACACACACACGCCTTGTTATTCCCACCACACAGCCCCTGAGCTGCCACCTTGCCACCTTGCCACTGTCTTTAGGTCCGTGTCGGGCTCTGCAGCTCGTTCTCCGTAGCAGCAACATGTTGCTAGCTACAGCCTTTCTGCTCTTGATCTGAATCGGATGCTGATGAGGTAGATTTCCAGACCGAGATGAGACGAATGCCTCCTTCAGCCTAGCTTGAAAAGCGCAGCACACAAAAGAACAATGATTGGAAAATGTGTAAATGAGTTGATCAGCAATGCTTTCTGCACTGTTTCGCTCACTCAGCAGCTTTTTATTGTTTTCTTAAGTGCACCTCTCTTTCTCCATTCTGTGTTTGGACTTTATCTCCTCTGCTATGTCTGTTTGCTCTTCCCTTGACATTGTCTGTCTCCCTGTGCACCACCTCCATCTCCCTCTCTGTCTCTCTGCTGCTTTGTCTGCCTCTCTGGGTGTTGCTGCTCCAGTGTCTGTGGCTCCTCCGCCTCCTCCTCCAATGGTCCAGCTGACCCCACAGATCCCTCTGACCGGCTTTGTTGCCAGAATGCAGGAGAGCAGTAAGTAGAAAGTCCATTTAAAAACATGCACGTGCACTGAGTTAAGCAGATACACATGTGTGAGTTCAATTAAACCCATTATAGTTCACACACACACACTCACTTGTGCACATACAGGCTGTGCTTTTCCAAAAATCTCAAATAAGATGACTCTTCACATTCACATCCACTTACTCAGAGACACATTCACTACCACACAGTTGCATAAAACACACATACAGTATGTACAGTAGGTGGGGCTGAACAAATAACTGAATGTATTGAACGACCTACATTACAAATCTCTTAACGAGCTAAATTTACTCAAATCACAATTTTCACTGAATGTCCATGAAGTGAGAATAGAATGCAGATCTGTTAAATCTATCTCGATACAGATTTTAAGTCATATTGGTCGTATTAATTGGTCTCCATTAACATACATAGAGAGACACCTTTCATCACATCTCTTATCAATGCTCTGAAACGGCCTCTACATCCACACGCAGCCTCACTTCTACACTCTTCTCTGTGGCTCGCTACACTCGGCACACCTTCCCTTGCACTGTATTTGGGGTCTGGGGAGGGGGGGGGCTGACTGTCTGTTGCCATGGTGATGGATCACGGAAAGCGTGCGTCCCGTTCCTCATGTGACCCGATGCCGTGTCCTGATTCACCGTCCGCCTGTGTGGAGAAATGCAGCGGCGTAGCGATCCAACTGTCTGTGTTGGTCTGGTGATGCAGACTGCCGGCCTGCTACACTGCTACAAAGAATGGATTATTTACATACTTATGGTCTTAGACCAGTAGACATTCTGATATAAAGGACTGTGAACCTATATCCATTAAGCTTTCTTTTCCTTTTATTCTTCTAAGCAGACCGAGGCACACAGGAAGTGCAGCATGTCACAGGTCCCACCAGAAACAAGGGATTAATATGTAAATAAAAGAAGAAGGCTCATTAGTATGACCAGCGATAGCCACCCGCCTGACTGAACAGACAAAGAGGGTCTCAGTAATGTCTTAACAAGTCATCCACCGTGAAGAAATATCCAAACAATAAGCCAAGAAATGCTGATCTCATATATAATCACTTGAAACACAAGCTTTTCAAATTGTAATTTACTATTGATACAGTCAGATATAGTCCTCGCCAACTGTAACGTATGCTGTGTTTACACACACCTTAAAGGGCCGGTGGACTGGACTTATAAAATGCAAGACAGCTTTTGTTATATTGTGAAGCATTTTCAGCTCTTAATGCTTAAACAGATTAGAAGTCAGTTGTTAGACCGGTGGAGAAAAAGGGTACGTAAGCAGTTCTCTGGTGCGTTATTGCAGTTTGTTTAATTCAAGAGCCGGCTTATGAATTAGTTAGACGAGGAGGTTCAGTTTTTCTTTCATCTCTGGACATGATTGTGTTTAAAAGACTGTAGCAGCTGCAGCGGTGGAAGAGTGTCAGGACCAAGTCAGGCTTTTCTCACGCTTAATGAATGGTGTGAGTTATTAAGCCAGTCAGAGAGGTGGATGATGAACATTTAGCCTTCAGACACAGAAGCACACCGACTGTGTGAGTAAATACTCAAAACTGACTCCAGGAAATATTCAGGCTGCATGCTTCTAATGCCGCTGCTCATTTCTCAGGGGACAAAACTAAAATACACATCCTACAAGTTTGTGAATGGAAGCCATCGTAAAAATAAATAGGAAGAGGCTTTAAAAACATCTGAAACATCCTTTTTATGCACAATAAGTAAAAAACCATACCGTAAGTTCAAAAAAAATACAGTAGATAGCGGTTGAAAATTGAAAACAACATTTAGAACTTCATGTTAGGAAATAGAATGTACAAAAAATATAACTGAAGTAGTAGTAGTAGTAGTAGTAGTAGTAGTAGTAGTAGTAGTAGTAGTAGTAGTAGTAGTAGTAGTGGTGGTGGTGGTGGTGGTAGTAGTTGAAGCTGTAGGATGACATACTAAATAGCAGAAATGACCCTAAGCTGCCCTCTAGTGAACATTTAAATGCATAAGTCTCCACAGTAACCGGGTTCATAAAGGTTTCTGTCGGCCTACATGATGGCTGTCAATATGGAAACATTCATTTAACAATATGTATGTAACTTTAAAGTCCCGTTGTCCCTCATCTTCACTGTGACATTTTTTGTTGCAAAAAAAATAGTTACACAATCAAAAAATAGAATAAATAAAAGAGAGCCATTTTGAAATCGGCTGCAGTGACGGATGAGATCAGCAGAGCAAACACGTTATCTGTGCACTCCTTTTTCCTCTTGCTTATTGTCTCACATGATTTTCTTCTCCTCCGGTGTCCGTCCTCCTTCAGTAACAGACAGCCCCGCCCCGCCTCCTCCGCCTCCCCCAGAGGACATGGGTGTGTTTGAGGAGCCCTCTCCCCCTCCTCCTCCCCCACCTGTGGACTATGAGGAAGAGGAGGCCGCGGTGGTCCATTACAGCGACCCCTACGCTGACGGAGACCCCCTCTGGGCCCCCAAGGTTTATTTAGAGAAAGGTTAGTGGCAGCTTTCCACTTTTCTTCTACAAAACTGACTTTCTTACTGAAAAAAAACACTCAACTTAATGTTCGTTTACATTTTTGTAAACGATAACTTTTATTGATTTTTTTTTTTTTTCCTCCAGTTGTGGCCATCTATGACTACAGCAAGGACAAGGAGGATGAGCTGTCCTTCATGGAGGGAGCCATCATCTACATAATCAAGAAGAACGATGACGGCTGGTATGAAGGTGTCGCTAACGGCGTCACCGGACTCTTCCCAGGAAACTACGTGGAGTCGATCATGCACTATGCTGACTAAACACAAAAAAACACACCCAGAATGGCACTGCAAGTTGTGAGCGGCGGTAAAACCGCGAGGATGTACAGATGTTTTGCAGTCCAGTGATTGCGGTTCATGAATGAAGTGCCATGGTGGATTTTTCAAATGCTTTTCTTTTTTTTGCGGGGGGGGGGGGGCTTGTGCTTGCACGGTTTTGTCATGCTCCCAAAAAAAAAAAAACACACAAAAAATGTGTCGCACAAAGACGGGGGGGTGCTGAAGCTTTGGACTGGGGTCTGTTAGTTTACACTGTGGCTGAAAGGGAGGAGACGAAGGCCTTTCTGCTGCCGCTGTTACACCCGCGTAGGTCGGCAGCACTTCTCAAACTTTTAACTGTCACATTTTGCCTCGCGAGACATTACGGAGTAATTTCAAAACAATGCCAAGTAAATCTAGATTGAGTGGTTTAGTGTATATGCAGCCAGTATTTCCAGTATGCAGTAGATCCAGACAGTGAAGTATTAGTAGGATTTCATGAGGCAGTGTAGCTCCCACCCCTTTATTTGCACTGTAGACCAGCAGACCGACCGTTCCCTCCTTTCAAAAAACATCCATCATACCTTACAAAAAAACAACAACAACAACCCGAAAAGGACAAACAGACATCAACAAGTGCATTAGGACACGACTGAATGTTTGATGCCGTCGATGTCCAAATCACAAGATGTTTAAGAGGCAACAAAAGCAACCTGGAGTTGTGTATTTACTATGCTCTGTGTATGTGGGGCTGCTGTCAACAAAGGGTCAACTGAGTGTATAGAATGCATTACAAAAAAAAAAAAAAAAAAAGACGACCGCTTCTTCTTTCTGTTCTCTTGTATATAAACTGTGACGTGAGAAGCTGCCAGTACAGTACATTTGTCAGTTGCTGTGTTTCACCTGTGAGTTTTCCATCAGCGTCAGCGGAGGTGATGCCGAGATCGGATGTTGTTTTCAATTGAATTGTTTATTTTTTACTTGAATATTCATTTTTATTCATCACTCACAGTGCCATTTTAACTTCATCTATTTTTCTATGTTCAGTCGCCACTATATCACGTTTGATCATCGCTGTCCAGCTACTGTAGCAGAGATTGCTTCGCAAGGAGCAGCAGAGGAAGGACTAACCCGTGTGTGTACATGTCCTTTTCCATTGTGTTGGAATAGCTGCACTGGTTAGTCATCAACAACCGTGATGACTTCACGATTTCCCTTCTTTGCTTTTGATTTTGACTCATGAGTTGCTTATCCAGAAGTGTCCCCTAAACCTTGACACTCGTCCATTCCTTCAGTGGTGTGTGGTGCTTTACATCGGTGCTAAACAACCTCAAACCAAGACTGCTGTAAATGCTGTAGAAGTGGAACAAGGGGTTTAAAGTCGCATTGCTTCGTTTCCAGAGGATGAACATTTATCAGATTTGATTGTAATCGTCTTCAATCACCTCTGCATTATTTTAGTGAATGTAAGCAACCCGGCAGTGATGTGCTATAGCTCGATTCTGTCTGCTACTTACGGTGTGTTTATGTCGATCTACACGCAAGATACAAGTCTGTGCTACATATGAATGACCTGCTAACTGCAGTGAAGGAATGAATCGCAATCCCGAGGTCTTAAAAACAGTGCCGATATGAAGACCTCTGTTCTGATTTCTACTACTTTTCTTTTGCAAAATAAGATGCCTGCTCTTGAAAAGTGATTGTTGGTTCAAGTAAAAAAAAACCTGCTGTCAAATATCATTGAAGCTTATCCCACAATCAATGTTTTTTTTTTAAACTATCCACATAAACACAATCATACATACTTTGGGAATAACGGGCATTGAACACATGCTTTTATTTTGAAATGGATAATGTGTTGCGAGGGGATTATTATCCAGAGGTAACATTTTCAGGTTTCCACACAGACAATGACTCAAATCAACAGTATTCATTCAGCTAAGAAAAGTCTCTAATCATCGTTACAGTGAATGATTTGCCACTACATCCCATTCTTGATTGTATTTTTTCCATCATGAGGTAATCTTTTGTGAGAAAACAACTTTTTCTACCTAATGTATTTCTAGCTTCGCATTCAACTTGTTCTTTGTGTGTCGGATACTGCTGAGGAACGTCCGCTAGCAGTTTGTATGTAACGGATTAATTTATACTTTTTTCATAGAGAAATCATGAGACAACCACTGATGACTTTGTAATGTTTACCACTTAACGTCTCGCATTTCAGGGCATCACAGGTCAAGGCGCCTTTCTTTGATGAGTGTTTTCTTAATGATGAAACGTGGGTGGGGGGGAAAAAAAATCAGTAACTTAAATGTTCATGGGAACAGAAACTAATATTTGTCTTCTCCTCTCAGTTTGTACATATTATGTGTTCATTGAAATTTATGTACAGTCTTTTTTTAATAAACAGCTCATTGAAACAGTGGACATAAGTGTGTGTGGTCTGTGTGTCGTAAAGCTGAATGAAAGTATACGTTGTATACGTCTGGGTATAAGTAAAAGCTTTTAAAATGTGATCTATTGCATCATATTCATGTGATGCTACTGCTACACTGGAGCGCATTACTAAAAACATATTATTGGCACATTCGTCCAGACATGTGCATAGGGAGGCAAAACTGGCTTAATCCAGGCTGAAGGGAGGGGAGGATGTGTCTCAAACGTGTGTTTGTCCAGGAGGAGGAGGAGGGATGAAGTCAGGTGGTGGCTCATGTGGATAGTCCTCCACGTTTGTGGTTTTGGGTGGAGCCGGATCTGGCTTTGGGCTGTTGTATCTGTCTGTAAAGACAAATGAGAGTAATTGCAGAGATGTGGGTTTTAATAGTGGTATTCCTATTCTATATTATTTTGTTTTTTCAAAAGCAGCTGTTTTCTAACCTGGGCCTGTCTGTACAAACAGCTCCAAGTAAAATGTTGGTCTTAAGTACATCAGAATTCTCAGACTGGTGTCATTTTGATTTTATTAGAATCAAGAATAAATACCATGCATGCATTTTTTTTTTACTTTTAGGTTGAGTTCTGTTTTGGAAGGAAAAGTAAAATGTAAACATGCAATTGAACAACATACATACTAATTCTAACTACGAACAAATTCTATACTGCCTCCACCTAATACAGACATGCCACCTTTTGAGCTGAATCAGCTTTTGGCTGATTCAGTGCTTGAGCGAGGGAATTTTGGGTAATCATAGTGCTTAGGAGTCACTGCAGTCTGCACTTACTACAAAAATCACACACGAACTTTGCAAAACGTCACTTTAGGTTCCTTAATACAAAGCTTCCAAGAGATTACAACAGCTGCCGTTGAAACGTGTAGACTCACCTTTGTGTGCAGCAGAGTGGGGAGGTTGCGAACTGGAGGCTCTCTTCATTGCAGCCTGGTAGTTCTTAAACAGGACAGTCCCATACTGAACACATAGACAGAGCACACACACTTAGATGAAGTGTCTATATTTGTTATTTAAATTCCCAAATTTGAAGCTGAAGTGCAAACAGATTCAATAGATTTCTAATTGAACTGCTCACATTAAAGTGATTTGTGTTGCTGACGGTGTTGAATCTGACCTTGGCTATTCTGATGGAGTTCACCCAAAGCAACAGTGTGTGTTCGTCATCACAGCACAGGAACTTCATGTAGTGTGACTCTTTCTGGAGGCAGGGATGCTGGGGAAAGAGTACATGCAGAGAGAACAGTGAGGTTAAAGGGCCATTCCCTTGATTTAGTATTGCATATATATATATATATATAATATATATATATAATAAAAACAATGGTCAAAACTGATCTCTGCTGCCAGTTTGTGTATCTGTTGTAGTACACATACGAGTCAGCAGAGGGCAGCTGGTACCAAACTGTTGCTGCACTTTGGACCTTCACTCATGACTACAACTGTTAAAACAGGACCAGAAAAATATTTTCACTGGGAATGTGGCACTTGATTAGTTGAATTGAATCTAAAACAGACAACAATTGGAAAACTTAGATGTGACTTTTTTTATTTATTAGGAAAACAAACGGTTCTCACGGTTGAGAAGCAATTCTTTGAAACAACAACAAGGTGCCAGAAATACACATTGCAGTGTATTTACAATGTGTGAATACACAATGTTGCTCATTTACAAGTCATATGGGCAAAACCAGTTGAGGGTTGTTGGTTTCTCTTAAGTCGTCTCACTTCCCCTCAACATGACAAAGCTGTCATTGCCAGCCACACGTTTCATGTCTTCTGACAGCTTTGCTCTTTATCTGTAGACGTGTAGGAGTGCAGTCGTGTAAAGTCCTCCTCTCGTTGTCTTCAGCCTCCCTCTCAATCTATGCTCATGTTTGATGTAACCAAGCTGTTGTTACTACAGAAAGTGCTTTCTGTAGTGGATATATATAGTGTGATTTAACAGTGCTCATTGTCATGGTCCTGGGTTGTTTTTGTCATAGTTTGTTTCCTGTTTTATTTTGAAGTTCACTCCTCATGTGCCCTGTTTGGCTTGACTTCCTGTTTTGGTGAGTTTTCCCACCTTTTTGATCGTCTGCTCTGCCCTGATGAGCTTCACCTGTGCCTCAGTAGTCCTGCACTCACCTCACCTCCTGGTCACCTCTTCTCACTTCCTTTTGTTAGTCAGACAGTCACTATTATACTACCTCAGTTCCTAAGCTCCTTATTGGTTTGTCATTGTTGCTGTCTAGAGTTTTTGTTACCAGTTACCTGTCAACCGGTTGCTTGTTACCTGCCTGCTGGACAAACATGTCTCCTGCATGGACTCTTGTCAACTGTGAGATAAAATTCATTAAAATATTGAAGTTAGCCTACCGTCTGTCCCGGCTTTCTGCATTTGGGTCCGATCAAGATTTCACTGCACCATGACACTCAAAGGCTGTAAAGTCTATATTGACCACCAAGATGTTAAACCCCGCATATGTTCACCTCTGCCCAAGTGACTATACTTCTCTGCTTTTTTCACTTCTCTCCTCCATCCCATCTTTCTCTCTCCTGTCTCAGATGCGTTGTTAATCTAAGCTGCATGGTCCTCTAAGTGTAGTGTCGTCATACTGCAAGAGGCCAACGAGTGCCCAACACAGCTTCATTTAAACATACACATGAACTGACAAACCTCTGACCATGTTGTGGAGAGACTACTTGTCAAATAGAAAAAAAAACTTTTTTTATCCTCCCGCCTGAAATACCAACCTTTTTTTTTGTTAATGCAGATTTCTCAAATGTCTAATTTCCTCACATTGGTGAAGGTTTGAGTGCAGGATGATGATGATGAAGATGTTTTGGGGGGAAAACAATTATATGTATCTTGTAAATCACCTGAAAGTGCACTAGCTCAATTTGAACATCAAGTTATGAATATGACATGGTTTGATTCTTAAAACAGTAAAAAACACAGATGGGTAGGTGAGATTTTTAAGAAAAAAAATACCAGAAATAGGTGCTGCTTGTTATTTATAGTTGTAGACGTCAGCCTGCGTACATTTTTCTCTCTTGCCAGGACCTTTTTTCCACCCAACGACAGATTAAAATTGACCCACTAGGTAGATTACACAAATGTGCTCTGCAATGACTTTACCTCATTAAACTTTTAGTGATCACACTTGTTTGAGTTTACCTTTAGCATGAAGCAGAAGTTGGTGGGAGCTCTGTATTTCTGTTTGTAGTTTTTGGTGGTGTAGATGTTGACTTTTTCAAAATGAAGAAAGCAGGCGAGATCACTGACAGCCTGCCGGACAGAGAGAAAAGCCAATCACCATCATAGGAATGTTATTATGTGGAAAATATTATACACTATACATATTGTACAAATGTAGGTGTTTATATATATGAAAAATTATTCTCTGGTTATCCTGCAAATGTGTTGTGCACAGCAGAGATTCTGTTAAGTGGTTGGAGGGAATAGTGGAAAAATTCACATATGGGCTTTACAGATTACATTTACGCACAAACATAGAAATGGTAATTGGAGTGGTCTAAATACTGTTTCTCTATTTTGTCATCATGTCGTGGAGATGAAATACATGTTCTCAATCTCATTGTATGGAAGGTATTTAAAAATGAAGACACTTCAAAGAAAACAAGTCAGTGCGAGGTCATTTGTCTTCATTTCATTTCCAAAGAAAGTCCACCATGAAGCTTCGTGTCAAGGGAAATATTTTGTTTTTCTTTCTAAAGCATTTCTTACATTTTTGATTTGAAACACATCGTGTTCACACATGAAACCACACTGACATCGCTGCTGTGATTCAATGGAAACTACAGAGTGAAGCTTCTTGGAAGTGGAGGTGACTCTAAGAGGATAACTGTTGCTCTGACTTCTCCCTTTTCTGCTCTCTCGGGTTTCCTGACTTGATCTCCCACCTTTGTCCCCCTTTCTTCTTCCACCTCTTACTTTATCTCTAACTTGGCCTGCTTGAGGATCACAGCTCCAGTATTCTCTTTACTTATGATAGTAGCTGTTGTGTTTTTTTTGTTCGTTTTTATTTCTGTCTGATTTGGTATATTTCTCTTTCCCCTGCCTACTGAACTGTCCTTTCTAGATCGTCTTCTGCTTCGTTCTTGTGTCCTGACCTCAGAAGATTCCTGCAGCTCTCTTATGTTTGCGATTTGCACATCTGCTTCGCACAGTTTGCCCTCCATCTATTTCTTCCTCTTGGATGATTTTTTGTTAGAGTCTGCATGGACGGTGTTTTTCCTTTCTGTGTCAGTAACACAGTTACAGTGACGAGGCCTCAATTCTCACTGTCCATCTTCATTTCTCTTTCGCTCTCTCTTGCCTTTCTGCCTCTGCTACACTTTGGAGCTCAGATGTGAGCAATCATAGACTTCACAGGGGGGAAAAGTATCTTGTCTCTCTGCTACCATACTTGCCCTGAAAAGTTTTTTTCTTCTAATTTTCTCAACTGTAGGCCTACAGTTGATAACAGACTGCATGAAAAAGCTAATACCATTTGTCAACATTGCAAATGTATAGATGCACCGATGCATCTTAAAAGCACTTTGTCATGAGTCATAGTTGAGAATGTCAATACCACACTCGTGTCTGCACGTCCAATATAACGCTATGGCTAGAGTTAGCAGCTGGTTAGCTTAGCACAAAGACTGTAAACAGGGGGAATAAGCTAGCCTAACTCTGTCTAAATGTAAAAAAAAATAAACCCAAACAATATTCCCACTACTACATTTAAAGTTAATCATTAACATGTTATATTTGTTGGTTTTCTACCGTTAAAAGTGTTTGATAGACAGGTTGTGGTTTTATAGGGGATTATGTGTATGTGTCTGTTAGTTTAGCTAACGTTAGCTAAGCATGGAGCAACAAATAGCTTGATGACAACTTGTTATTCTGACATTTAGTTTTTTTAAAGGAATAAACAAACAATTATAGCTGTTACTTACTGAGATTTAGATGGATTTTTTTAACCCTTGGACGGAGCCTTTATGCTAAGATAAGCGAATCGACTGCTAGCTGTGGCCCGTGAGGCATTTCCCAAAATGTCAAACTATTTCTTAAATATCGCAAGGAAGGTAGTTAGTTAGTTACAATGTTAAGTTTATGTAGTTTATGTAAATTAACCTAAAATAACGCTATATACTTTCAGACACAAGTCACTTACAGCTATCTAAGAATAGTAAGAAAGCTTCACTGTCATGACGATGTTCTCTAGGCTTTGTGTCGGGAGGTGGTTTCACCACAGTTGCTATATTACTTACTGTAATCTCCCACCTTTATGGGTTGTCTTGAATATGACGTGGATTTTTTCATTGAAAAACGTATTTGATCTGCCATACCTTTGTCTTTCCCTTGGGTACATAGTAAATGCCCGAGGCCCTGAGCATGAAGTAGAGAGGTTTCCAAAGCTTTTTCCCATCTTCTTTTAGGTACAGCTTGCCCTCAAGATCAGGAACAATCAGAGTGGAACCTCCAAAATGCTCCTAAAGGGTCAGAGATTACATGCAAAACTTAAAAGACATTCAACTTAAAACATAGTTCCAGTAATATGGTATGGCAATGTAACTGACCTTGAGTAAGAGCTGTTTGGCTTGCTCATTAATCCCACTCAAACATGCTTTCTTCTTTTTCCACATGTAAAATAACTGCAAGGTGAGAAAAGCATAGTTCAATTTACCGAATAAGCATTAAACAGTGCAATAAAACGTTGGCAAGAAGAAAACCCCTACTCACTTGAGGGTCAGTGAACATCACATACTTCTCAGGTTTTGACACAAAATAGATTTGGTTTTCACTGACGCGAGTCCACGCAGACAGGGGCTCCACTAAGTGCTCATGGTCCTCAAAATCTCTTTCTGAAATGATGAGAAAACATGTGGGCTGAAAACAGTGTCTCCTGCCTCTGTAGATGATTTTTTTTTGGCATGTGCTATGTTTTCTGCATGTGATCTGAGTGCGTATGTACAGCATATGTACATGTTCATCTCACCAATCTGCAGCTCAGGGTTGGTCTCACACAGGCTCCAGTCGATGCTGCAGTCACAATGTGTCTTCTCAAACAGCTTGTCCAGAACCTCTCGGACAGTCTGTCTCTCATCCACCATCAGTGTCTTGGAGCTGCCGTCACTCATCAGCACCTTGACTATCAACTAGGGGAGGCAGCAAGCTGGGTTTAACTTCATAGGACTGCTTAGTTAAGAGAGACTCACACAAAGCTGCTGACTTACCTTCCTAACTTTGGCTTCTTTCAGCTTCTCCAGAGCCAGTTTAATTTTCTCTGCCTTTGTCTGGGGTTCGCTCTATAAGAATAATAACAAGAGGTAATCAGTTATTATTTTCATGACATTACAACTTTATTTTTTATGATCAGTGACGTATTCTAGTTTACCATCTGCAGCCCTTCAGAGGATTCGGTAGAGTTCGATGGTCGAGGACGGGCAGCTGCTGGCTCAGGTTCCCGAGCCATTGCTGAGGCTGCTGCACAGCTGCTGGTCTGTTGATCTGCGGGGAGTCGGCCATCTGAGGTGGTTGATTTTGATCTGAGGTCAGCCACCAGAGCATCCAGGTCGTGGTCCTCCAGTTCATTAAGAGACTCTGTACAGAGATCAGGGCACAGTTGTGGCCCCGAAATATTAGAGAAGAGGACTTATAAAGGTACCAGTCCAGGTTTAATCCCTCAACATCACACTGATGACAAGATCCTCAGAGCCAGGCTAGCTGTTTCCCCCTGTTTCCAGTCTTTATGCTAAGCTAAGCTAACTGTCTCTTGGCCTTAGCCTCACATTTAACGTACAGACATGAGAGCAGTAACAATTTTGTCATCTAACTCTCGGAAAGAAAGCAAAGTTTATTTCCCAAAATGTCAAGTCATTTCTTTGACACAACTCTCTCGCTTTGCATTGAATCAAAGGTAAATATGTTTTGCTCCTTCACTTTTGTTGACTTTACTTTAGCAAGAGACTAGCTTGGTTTTTGACCCAACTTAATTTTTTCCCCTCATAATTTAATTTGATTTAATTTATCTTTTTTTTTTGTATATCTAAATCCCCAAAACATTATGGTGTTTCCAAAACATCTCCACTTCTATCCCTCCTGGTTTCAAGAGGTTGGTGTGACCTTCTGGCACAAGAAAAAACGTCACTCCCCGTCTCTCAACTGAAACCATGTTTCTTGAAAGACTGCATCACATCTCCTCCACTTCTACATCACACTTTCAGCCAGGGCAGTGTGACTCTTAGCTCTGTCACATTGCTGATCTGGAGATTGAAGCTTTATTATCTGCCATTCTTGCTTTTGATGAGAGCATCATTATCTGAACGAGCACTTACTGTACCGTTTAGGTCTGTGAAGCCAATGGAGAAGGTGCTGTGTGTCTGTGAGTCAGGGCCCACTTCTGCAGGCATTAAACTCTGCAATGAAGAAATTAGATGGTAAATTAACAACACCTCACAGCACCCATGGCAGTTGTATATTTTGAAAAATGTACTTTAATTCCATTGGTTGTTTTAAATTGCATTTTACACAGAAGTCATGTGGGCCATATGTGTCCTTGAAAGGCTCTGAACTGTTTGAAATTGTTACATGATGAGCCTGTTATTTATCAGTGATTGTTTCCCGCCATTTTATTATGCTCTGTTTTCAAGCTGTTCCTTTAATAGAGAACACACTGCACTCAGCTCCTGCACAGACAATAAATCATACAGTCCATTAAAGAATACAGATTTTTCTAAACTGGGATGTTGGTCATGCTGGAGCTGCTGCTTAAATGACACCTCCAAAGTTCTTAAAGTCACGGGTGATGAGTGGAATCACTTTAAATCCTTTTGTTTCTCAGACTCTGAGAGGATCTAGGCTTGAATCAAAATGCTCTTCCTGCCAAGTCTGTTGACAGTCTCTGGAGTGGTGTTTGTCACTGTGATGGCTTTCCAAGAGGCATAATGACATCTAGAGCCTTTTTTTCTAGTATCGCTGATGTAATGTTCCAGACTGATCCCGTTGTTGGGGCTGCACTCATTTAGCTTGCATCAAGAGATTTGAAATGGACAATAATGAATTGCGCCTCAGGGTCGCATCAATCAGAAGAGTGTAATGTTTTTCTTGGCGAGCCGCAGTTATATGATGAGCAGCTTATGTGTGCTTAAGGGAATCTGCAACGATGGCCTACGGTCCAATCCAGATGCGATGACTTCACTCTTCAGCGTCGCCTCCCATTTCTTTGTCTGATGCTTCAGTTTCAAAACAAAGACTGCCATGTGTAATCAGATAATGTCCAGATTAGTGAGGTAAACTTTGAGTGATTTTTCTGATTCGCTTCTTGTAACAAAAGCACTCATGGGAGCAGTCGGCCAAAGTGTAAGAGTCAAAGATGTTTGATGTCACACTGTTGTTTCTCAAAATTCCAGATCAATTTTACTAATGCATCATGGGATGTGTTGTACAAAAAGCACGGCAGTTTGAGTCGGATGGTCAAACCAGTTTGGCCCTGATTGAAATATCTCAGCTACTGTTTGATGACTGGATTGCAATGAAATTTAATGGAGCCATTCATGGTTCTCAGAGGATGAATCACCCTGACTCTGATGATCCCTTGACTCCTCTAGCGCCACCACGAGGTCTCTTGTTTAGACATTCATTAGGATAAATTGTATTATCTTTGTCTCCCGTTTACTTTTCAAAGCGTCATCATCAGGTTTCTGACTAAATACCTACAAAACAAACTCAAAAAAACATTTGTAGGTCCTTTAAATGTCTTTGAAAACAAAGACATTCCAACCAGCTTAAGTTGTACGTTACATAGTCTCATTTAACAATTGTTGGGCGAATTAATCCGGTAAACATCATACATGCTAAACATCAACATGTTAGAGTTGTCACTGTGAGCATGTTGTGTTGATGTTAGCATTTAGCTGACAGCAGCAGCTGCTGTGCGACTCACCTGAGAGAGATGATCCATCTCTCCAAGCAAGCTACTGAATATGGAGTCTATGTCGTCCATCTGAGAATGGTACAGAGAAACATTTTAGATTTTAGCCGCAGTACAGGGATTAAACACAGTGTAGGAAGTGACTAATGCAGTACCATCAGGAACTGAAAAACTTTGGATAATTTCAGTTCAGTTTAATTTCAGTTTCTACCGGCACCAGCTGTTGAATAGCTTGTCATGCAGCAAGCAGAAAAGTTAGTAAATAAACTCTATAACAACATTTTTGTGGTATAGAAATAAAAACACTCTTGGACACATGCATGCCCATGCACATATACAGTTTGGATATGTCTGTCAGAGTTGTAAAAAACAGATAAACAATATGCAAAAAGAGCTTAATCACTCCACACAGAAAACCCCCCCCCCCCAGAAATGTGATCTCTATTTCTAGACATGCTCAAAGTTACAAGCACTGCAATGCAATGTCATTGCCATTTCTCCACAAAGTGACAAAGCAGCGTGCGTGGCAGTTCCAAACAGTTTCCATGTTGCTCTGGCAGTGAAGTTGCACACGTTGTTTTTTTCACTAGTTAACCAGTGACCTTTATCTTCAGTAAACCGGGGAACGAGGTGGTTTGAGAAGAACTCTGCTGAGTGTGTCACAGGTAAAGAAAGCAAACACACCTCACCTCATCTGCATCATTTGGGTCCACTTACTGATTTACTGGTCATTACTTTGTCTCATTTTGCTGAAAGACACCATGTGAGGTGCACATTCTTTGCATTTATAATTGATCATTTCTGGTGGAAAACAATTGCTTCATTGAGATCAAAGATTTTTATCAGGAAAAACGTGATGGAAGTCTGGGTTTGACCATATGGAGGCGGTACTTTGCCAGCTTTAGGGTCATCAATAATACATCTCGCATGTGGAGCGGCTTAAAAAGCAAACTGAAGAATGAGCTCTGTTCATCTTGCCAACTATTTGAGACCGTTGCTGTGTGTGGTTATCAATAACAATATATTGTGAAAGCCGGAAACAGCAAATGTAGAGGCAGTATTGGTGGTAAGATTTACAACCAGCAAGGATTGGAACCAAAGTTTGACGTCCTGGGCTACCCAGTGCGTTAGAAAGTGACTCCAAGGGTCCTGACCAAGCTTCAGTATGTGACGAGATTATAGATTCTTTAATACTATACGTTTTTTCAGCTTATTTAACTTTCTTAATACTTAAGACACGGGTTGGATCACATTGTGATATAGGTGAGTGCATCAGAAAGAGTGAATACATTCTCAGAAGTAAAGATCCCGGTTACTCTAAATAGGCGGCGAGCTATGGCGAACATCTGTTTGGCTTTGTTTACCTTTACGCTGATAGATTTTACACATTAAAGCTGCAGCTGGAAGTGTGCAAAGTGCATATTCTGTCCTATATACGGAAACTCATCTGTAGACATTCATTAGTTTAAAGCCTCTGTCCTGCTGTCTATCGCTTCATGTACCACTTGTTCTACTTCATGCACAGTTATATATGTATACACACACACACACACACACACACACACACACACACACACACACACATGCAGCCTAATGTGCATACCGAAGTACATTCAGTATAAAGTCCTGCCTGTGCTGTTCAGTCTGTTTATGCTGAACAGTAAACAGACCATCCATTAAACTGTAATGAGGTGGAGGGGGAAGTTGAGAGGACGGTAGTGGACTAAGTATTGCTTCCATATGAAAGTGACTTTTGTTAATCAAGAAAGCGAACTTTACCTTTGTGGCCTCTCAGGACTTCTGCCTGACATGTGTGAAAGTCAATCCTGACTTCTGTTTCTGTAACTTCTTTATTATACATAGGTATGTCTATTCAATTACTGGTACATGTCAGTGATCCCTGGCATGTGCTCATCAAAGCATCCATTACAAAACCACCATTTGTTTATATATGCCATGCTCTCATCAGGCATGTCAGATTGTTGCTGCCTTCTCCCACTGTGGTCTCACACATCAAGAGACGGACAGGCAAGCAACAGGCGGACTGGCCAAAAAGACAAAAAGCGATTTCTGGAGACTTATATGCATGAAAGGAATCACAAAGCATTGCCTAATGACAGTAAATCACTATGTTTTCTCTTCTCTTGTGGTCGAGAGCTTCTTACTGTTTTCTAATTAGTTGCACAACTATTCATTGGCGGCTGTGAGAGGACATGTGTTTGTCCTAAGCAAAGCTGATGTGGCTGCTGAAGTATTTAACTCTTAAAGGGACCAACAGAAAGGATAATATATACGTATATACATATATATGTATGTATAAAATACATACATATATATTTACATAATATATACAATTAGTATATCGATTTAGTATACAGTTGCCATAATACATATCTACCATTCATAAACGTCCTTAAGAAAACATTGACTGTCATTTAAAGTTCTTACCTTCTCTGTCTCTTTCACACATGGGAGCATCATAGAGTGTGTGTGTGTGTGTGTGTGTGTGTGTGTGTGAGTGCTAAAACGCTCAGAGGTCAGTCTATAAGAAACCACTTGAACACGTGACTTTGCCTGCACTGCTTCTGCAGATATTAGCTGAACTTCCTGTGATACCAGGAAGTAGATTAAACTGCATTTCCAGTAAAGCGGAGTGAGGTTTTTCTAATTATGTGCCACAGCTACTGACCATGATGTTCTTTCCTCTTCTCTTCATTTCTTACATTCCTACACAATCATGGTAGAGCCATAATACATCACCACCTATTTTGCCTGATTATGTAGCATAATTGATGAACATCTCTCTTACTCTTCTGTTGGTTTTGTTGCACATGTCAGGAGGGGATATATTATATCATGTTGTGAAATATAAAGAGTTTGGTGACATCAGCAAACTTCCTGCATGACTCTTGAGGTCCAGTTCTTATAAAATGTTTCGCTTTTCCAGTGCTTTGAAAGAATAATTTAAAACTATGTATTCATATCTGCCCCTGCATTGTAACTGCAGTGTAATTCTCCTGTTTTTTTCATGTGTTTTGATACATTTCACTTCTACTTTGTCTCTTATTAAATCCTATTTTGTGTGTCTTTTCATTTCGCCTTGTGTTCCTTTTGCATTTATGCATTTTTATGTCTAATGTAAACATGTTGCATTGCCACGTTGTTGAAAGGTGCTTTAAAAATATTCAACCTTGCCTTAGCGAGGGAAAATAAAAAAGTCTAACTGGAAACACCAGCATGTAACTAAGTAACGACTTGGAGGTTTTGATGAAAGAAGCAAGATTGAAGCCACTATTGTTTTATAATAAGACAACCTTTGTTGACACTGCAGGGAAATTGATTCAACTGTGTGATCATTTTGGAGGCTGCTGTTTGGGCTGCTGTGGAATTAAATTGATTCATGCTGACTGGTCTTTAGTATTGTTGTCCATCCCATTCATATAAATAAGGACATGCTGAATAACAGAAACAGCTCTCTTTATACTGCACTACAAACCGCAGCCACCACAATGATCATGAAGTTGACTCAGCTCCTCTCGAAAACAGCTTCAACAAAAACCTTCATGAAGTAGGATGCATTGTGGGATGTTACTGCATTTGTTTTTGGTTGGTGTACAACATAATAAACCTGCAACTGAGTGTAGACTATAATAACAGTTGAAGTGGCAGCAGATTTAGAACGTCACTGATGATAACAGCATCACTATAAACAGTGCAGACTTTAAAAGCCTCTGAAGCTGTGACTGTTTCACAGTGGTTTCTTTTTTAAAACATAGTTGTTGTCAGTTTCAGTGTCATGTGTGTTCCCACTTTAGTCTAAGTGTGACTCTGCTGTGTATACGTGCAGAGTGTACATCCGTCCTTCAACAGTCCTTTAAGAAAACAAAAATTTCCAGACTCAATATATTTATCATGTGACTGTTTATAAGCAGAAGATTTATAACAAACTACTTCTGAGAAGTGGAGGGTTTACGTGCTGACGTGCATATAGTCAATGTGTGTGTGTGTGTGTGTGTGTGTGTGTGTATGTGTGTGTGTGAGTGTGTGTGTGCGTGTGTGCGTGTGAGAGCGAGAGAGAAAGATCCATTTTGCCAAGAAAATGAGAAGAGTGGGAAACATTTAAATGTTTCTAATGTGGGTTAAAGCTTTAATCAAAGCCATGTGGGGTCAGGGGAGGGAAATGAGAGTAGCAATAAACTGTAATAAAGTTTACATTTTACAGGAGAGGCAGTTTTGGCTTCAAAATATCACAGAGTCCTACCACAGCACCCTAATCTAGTTCTACAGAAGAGATTAAAGCCTGATGCCATATAAAGCAGAGACTTTAATTCTGACAAGGCTTGTAAAAAAAAAACAACCACAGGGCTGTTCCGGTCATCAAAAGAAATGGAAAAAGAAATGGAAAAATTTCGAAGGAAATAACTATTTTCCCTTTGAATAATGTAGTTAAATGTGGAAAACCCCATGAAGTAAATATCTGAAAGTCCACTGGACTATTTGGAGCTTCCCACTATAGTTCAGGCCACTGTACAAATCTGCTCATGAATGATCCACAGGAGTGTGAGAACAAAAATAACACTAGAATAGTCGAAATATCTACCACATGCACAGCTTCCTAGGAATGGGGTGACTCTGCAGAGTGGTATGTCAGGGAAAGCTACGGGTTAATTTAAGACTAGGAGCAAAGCCTGTTGCCAATTAGGAGCAGTGAGCGCCACATGTGGGCTAGACGTAGCTATCTCCAGAAGGGGCAAAGGGGGCAGAAACCGCGGTGTGCGCAATGGAGACAAGCTAAATGTCGGTGCAACCACTTGTTCAAGATCAACCGGCACTTTATGGACAATTACTAATTTGGGCGATTTTTTTTCTCTTAAAGACATGATCAAACAAGATCTACAGGACTGAAGGATTGATGCGCAAAAAGGGGCCACCATTCACTCGTGGCCTGATTTCGTTTTTACCTTTCAGCATTGCAACATGGCACGTATCTCTACCATAATTTTACTCTGTGTAGCCTCTCTACTCAGTGGGGCTAAGAGCGTATCTGAGATGTGCAGGGGGACGCATTGCTTCTCTGGCCAGGATTGGAGACCGTGCGTCGGAGTACACTGCCAGGGGCGCACGGAGTCAGCGGCGTCCCGACGACACCTTCACAGCTCTGCACAATCCAGGCAAGGACAAGCCTACCCGAGTTACCAACAGGATGCTCATTTCAGTCACCGCCAAGCTCAGAGCGCGCCGTTAGCACCGTACACCATCATCCAACCTCAGCAGCGAGACTTTGCGCAACCAGCGGGAACGGATGGCACCAGGAGGACGAACCCGAGAACCATCACGGCGGAGGTGTTCCATCCTGGTTGCGCCGGTGGGACCTGTCCGACCACTGTCACTCACCGCCCGACGAGTGATGACAGCCCAAAATTGGAGTGCAAAGGGATTGGATGTAAACTTCCTCTTCGGATGCGCCAGAAGCCCAAGCCTTGCGTCGGAGACGGTTGCGGTACGCATGGAGGAGACGACAGGAGAGGACACTCTTCACCGGTTCATGTGACAGACAGAGCGGCGCAATTTCTGGATGAGCTTCCAGACTTCGGGTCGGAACGTGGTGCATGGATACAGTTGACATGTGACATGAAACCAGGTCAGTATAAGCCTGTGAGTGATTAGCCACAACATGGAAAGATAGATAACCGAATCTACTTTAAACGACAGCCTTCCCAGTGAGAAAATAATCTCTTAAATTGTAATAGTTTTCTTTCTTTGCCTCAGGGACCAATGAGCTTCCCGCAGAGGACGCTCTTGTGCTGCAGCTGCAGCTGTCCAAGAGCCAGGAGAAGCTGGTTGAGGCCCTCAGGGGCCAGCAGGACGAGGTCCAGGAGCTGCAGAGGCTCCTCACTGAGCAGCAGGGGACGCTGGTCAACCAGCAGAGAGAAATACTGGAACAACAGAGGAAGATGTATGACCAGATGGAGCAAGTAAGGCTGCTGTGATTGATGATGCAGGAAGATGTTGGAAGTTGTTTGTTACGGGGCAGTAGAGAAGCATGAAGTGGATGGAAAACACCTCACCTACAGAAGTTTTATGTGTTAGATGATACTGACCGCTGACCTCCCTGTGGTGGATCTTTTCCATATGGGGATCAGAGGAAGGGAATGTTCTGCACCACAATAGTGTTGCAATTATAATGATACACAGAGCAGACTGATAGGGGCTGTACTGAATAATCATACATCTATTTGAATTTGTGTACTCATAACATAAGTGATGGTTATTATTATCAGGATCATACAAAAAAAGGTTTGCACTTTTTTTTTTTTTTTTCTGCTTCCAGGTTAAAGCCCAGTACAACACAATGATGGACAGCATCAAGCAAACATCTCTCCAGAACCTCCAGGGGGAGCTAGACAGTCACATGGAAACCATGAACGGGCAGGTTAGAGCTCACTCAGTACAGCAGGCTCTCTCGCTGCACAAGGTGGACATGGAGGCCAGCGTGATGGAGGTGAATCAGGAATCAAGGGTGTACGAGTGTATTATAGTGTACAAAAAACAACCACCAGACAGTCGATATGATACCAGATGTTTCCATCAAGAGAGAGCTAACTAGTTTGTAAGAAAAGGCACTGTGATCAAAGTCATTTGTTTCTAAAGTCATGTACAAAACTTAAAAAAATAATAATGTAATTCTTATACCAGTTTGGAAATAAACTTTGTCTTGGGCTACTTCAACTAGCAAAATGGATTGGACAAGTAAATGGCATATATGCAATATATGACATCTGGTTAGCTACTCCACATAGCCATCTTTATACGATGTACAAACCTGACTGTCATGTTCAATGACATGTTTGATGCCACCAGGTGGGGCGCTCCCTGATGGCCTGTGGGAGCTGCGGTCCTGAGGAGTACTGTGGCTTCAGCAGCGGTCATCCTCGCTGTGAGAAATGTACCGTCTGTCCTGCCGGCTTCTTCCTGGTCGCACAGTGTTCAATCCACGCAGACAGAATCTGCCAGGTTAGTAGTACTATCTTCATGACAGTTGAACTAGCTCAAAGCGTGGGAGACAAAACAAAGCTTGTGGTGGTGGGTCCCTGAGTTACAGCAGATGTGTCCACTGTTTCACCACTGAATACTATCTAGAGTAGAAATTATCTAGATCAGTCATGACCCAGAAGGCAAACTAAAGAAACATGTGAACAGGATAAGTGTGTGTGCAGTGTTGGGGTTTGGGTTTGGGTTTGGGGAGGGTTGTTTTGCAGGAAGAAAGCTGGGTGAGACACGGGGTGAGAGGGAAGCAAAATATAAAGTTGTGGCCGGAAATCCAAAACAATGAGCTGAAGACGGAATCACAGAGTCGGGTGACTTTGAGTATTAATCACAGCTGCTTTGAAATTGATTCAAAGTGTCGATTTATTCATCGTTACAGGACAGAGACGAATGCCTTGAAATAGGTGATCTGTGTAGAGACCAACAGAAGTGTCTC